AGACCAGGAGATTCCCAGGTGTAGGAGCCCCATGAGCCGCCAGCGCAGCTGTTTGGGCCGGCACAGCTGTTTGGGCTGGGGCTGCAGCACAGCAGCACTCCATACAAAATACACTGGTTTGGTTGCCCTGTTAAACCGGCAATCAGAGATTTCAGAAGGAAGATTAGCACATTCATCTGATTAAATGGGACTTAAACAGAAAGTCAGGCCAGGAGATTCCCAGGCAGCAATGTGGTTCCAGCCGACGCAGTGGGTCGCTGCACAGGAAATCACACAGATCTGGCGCCCTTTCAGCAGGTGACTGGAACACCTGGGAGAGAGTCAACCGTTCAACTTAAAAAAAAAGGGGCGGGCTCTGGGGCAGGGAGCCAGGTTATCAGGCTTGGTGGGTCCCACCCCCACAAAAACAAACAAAACAGCAATTGGAAACGCTCGGGGTTGAGAGTTTCACGGCAAGCACAGCTGAACCCAGGATGGTGCAGCTCGGAGGGGGAGGGGCGTCCACCATTACCGAGGCACTTGACCCCTACGGAGGTACACTGCCATTGCTGACGCAGCCTGCCGTTGCTGAGGCAACCCGCCATAACAGAGAGAGTCTGCCACTACAGAGGCGGGCCATCATCACCACGGGAGCTCTAACCACACCCATATAAACAGGACTACAGAGAATTACACACAGCAGCAGGGCAGAGCCATGGCAGCACAGTGGAGCCACGGCAGCAAGGCGGAGCCCATGGCAGCAGGGCAGAGCCCACGGCAATAGGGTAGAGCCCACGGCAGCTCAGCATAGCCACTACAGGCAGGCAGTGATTAGACTGCCTCCTTGCTGGGCAGGACAGTGCCACGGATACTCATAAATAAAGCCCTAACTCCCCGGGACCGAGCACCTGAGGAAAAAAAAGGGGGCTTTATGAGTTCTGCTGCAGCAGATTTAAACGTACCTGCCTAGCAGCCCTGAATGAACAACGGAGCTCACAACTCAGCACTTGAGCTCCTATAAAGTACAGACTGTCTCCTCAAGTATAAAGTACAGACAGTCTCCTCAAGTAGCTCCCTGACCCCCATATATCCAAAGAGTCACCTCACAAAGGAGAGCTCAGACTGACATTTGGCGGGCATCATTCGGGGACAAAGATAGAAGAAGAAGAAACTGGTAGCAACCCTCATGGTTCCGCAGCTGCTACAGGTGTATCCCAGGCAAGCAGGGCCTGGAGTGGACCTCAGTAGTCCTACAGCAGAGGGGCCACTGTTAGAAGGAAAATTAAGAAACAGAAATACTTCATCATCAACAATCTGGACGTCCACTCAGAGACCCAATTGGAAAATCAGCAACTACTCAGATGACAGATGGATAAATCCACAAAGATGGGAAGAAACCAGTGCAAAAAGGAGGAAAACACCCGAAACCAGAACACTTCACCTCCTACAAGGGACCACAACTCCTCACCAGCAAGGGAACAAAGCTGGACAGAGAATGGGTGTGATGAAATGACAGAATCAGACTTCAGAAGGTGGGTAATGAGAAACTTCCGTGAGCTAAAAGAACATGTTCTAACTCAATGCAAAGAAACTAAGAACCTTGAAAAAAGATTTGAGGAAATGATAGCAAGAATGGACAACTTAGAGAGGAATATGAGTGAATTGAAGGAGCTGAAAAACACAACACGAGAACTTTGTGAAGCATGCACAAGTTTCAACAGCCGAATTGACCAAGCAGAAGAAAGGATATCAGATGTCGAAGATCAACTCAATGAAATAAAATGAGAAGCCAAGATTAGAGCAAAAAGTGCAAAAAGGAATGAACAAAGTCTCCAAGAAATGTGGGACTATGTGAAGAGACCTAATCTACGTTTGATAGGTGTACCTGAATGTGACGAAGAGAATGAATCCAAGCTGGAAAACACTCTTCAGGATATTATCCAGGAAAACTTCCCCAACTTAGCAAGGCAGGCCAATATTCAAATCCAGGAAATACAGAAAACACCACAAAGATATTCCTCAAAAAGAGCAACCCCAAGGCACATAATTGTCAGATTCACCAGGGTTGAAATGAAGGAGAAAATGCTATGGGCAGCCAGAGAGAAAGGTCGGGTTACCCACAAAGGGAAGCCCATCAGACTCACAGCAGATCTCTCAGCAGAAACCCTACAAGCCAGAAGACAGTGGGTGTCAATATTCAACATCCTTAAAGAAAAGAACTCTCAACCCAGAATTTCATATCCAGCGAAACTAAGCTTCATAAGTGAAGGAAAAATAAAATCCTTCACGAACAAGCAAGTACTCAGAGATTTTGTCACCACCAGGCCTGCTTTACAAGAGCTCCAAAAACCACATGATTATCTAAACTGACACAGAGAAGGCCTTAGACAAAATTCAACAGCCCTTTATGCTAAAAACCCTCAATAAACTCGGTATTGATGGAACATATCTCAAAATAATAAAAGCTATTTATGACAAACCAACAGCCAATATCATACTGAATGGGCAAAAACTGGAAGCATTCCCTTTGAAATCTGGCACTAGACAAGGATGCCCTCTCTCACCACTCCTATTCAATATAGTACTGGAAGTTCTAGCCAGAGCAATGAGGCAAGAAAAAGAAATAAAGGGTATACAAATAGGAAAGGAGGAAGCCAAACTGTCTCTATTTGCAGACAACATGATAGTATATCTAGAAGACCACATCACCTCAGCCCAAAAACTCCTGAAACTGATAAGCAACTTCAGCAAAGTCTCAGGATATAAAATCAATGTGTGAAAATCACAAGCATTCCTATACGCCAATAACAGACTTAAAGAGAGCCAAATTAAGAACGAACTGCCATTCATAATTGCTACAAAGAGAATAAAATACCTAAGAATACAACTAACAAGGAATGTAAGGGACCTCTTCAAGGAGAACTACAAACCACTGCTCACCAAAATAAGAGAAGACACAAACAGATGGAGAAACATTCCATGCTCATGGTTAGGAAGAATCAATATCGTGAAAATGGCCATACTGCCTAAAGTAATTTGCAGACTCAACGCTATCCCCATCAAGCTACCATTGACTTTCTTCACAGAACTGGAAAAAAACCACCTTGAACTTCATATGGAGCGAAAAGAGAGCCCGCATAGCCAAGTCAATTCTAAACAGAAAGAACACAGCAGGAGGCATCACACTACCGGACTTCAAACTATACTACAAGGCTACAGTAATCAAAACAGCATGGTACTGGTACCAAAACAGAGATATAGACCAATGGAACAGAACAGAGGCATTGGAGGCAACACAACATATCTACAACCATACAATCTTTGATAAACCTAACAAAAACAAGCAATGGGGAAAGGATTCCATGTTTAACAAATGGTGTTGGGAAAACTGGCTAGCCATGTGCAGAAAGCAGAAACTGGACCCCTTCCTGACACCTTACACTAAAATTAACTCCAGATGGATTAAAGACTTAAACATAAGACCTGGCACCATAAAAACTCTAGAAGAAAATCTAGGCAAAACCATCCAGGACATAGGAGTAGGCAAGGACTTCATGACCAAAACACCAAAAGCATTGGCAGCAAAAGCCAAAATAGACAAATGGGACCTAATCAAACTCCACGGCTTCTGCACGGCAAAAGAAACAGTCATTAGAGTGAATCGGCAACCAACAGAATGGGAAAAAATTTTTGCAGTTTACCCATCTGACAAAGGGCTGACATCCAGAATTTACAAAGAACTCAAACAGATTTACCAGAAAAAACAAACAAGTCCATTCAAAAATGGGCAAAGGATATGAACAGCCACTTTACAAAAGAAGACATACATGAGGCCAACAAACAGGAAAAAATGCTCATCATCACTGGTCATTAGAGAGATGCAAATCAAAACCACATTGAGCTACCATCTCACGCCAGTTAAAATCATTTAAAAATCTGGAGACAACAGATGCTGGAGAGGATGTGGAGAAAAAGGAACACTTTTACACCATTGGTGGGAGTGTCAATTAGTTCAACCATTGTGGAAGACAGTGTGGCGATTCCTCAAGGACCTAGAAATAGAAATTCCATTTGACCCAGCAATCCCATTACTGGGTATATATCCAAAGGACTATAAATCGTTCTACTATAAGGACACATGCACACGAATGTTCATTGCAGCACTGTTTACAATAGCAAAGACCTGGAACTAACCCAAATGCCCATCGATGATAGACTGGACTGGAAAAATGTGGCACATATACACCATGGAATATTATGCAGCAATCAAAAACGATGAGTTTGTGTCCTTTGTAGGGACATGGATGAATCTGGAGAACATCATTCTCAGCAAACTGACACAAGAACAGAAAATGAAATACCGCATATTCTCACTCATAGGTGGGTGATGAACAATGAGAACACATGGGCACAGGTAGGGGCGCACTACACACTGGGGTCTATTGGGGGGAATAGGGGAGGGACAGTGGGGGAGAGCTGGGGAGGGATAGCATGGGGAGAAATGCCAGATGTGGGTGAAGGGGAGGAAGACAGCAAATCACACTGCCACGCGTGTACCTATGCAACTATCTTGCATGTTCTGCACATGTATCCCAAAACCTAAAATGCAATAAAAATAACAATAATAATAATAATAAATAAAAAAGAAAATGTAGACTAAATGACTCAGAGGACCCTGCTGAAGAGGTTTAAAAAGGAAAAGATGGGAATGAGTGCTCTAGCTCAGCAGAGACTCCAACGTGGAATCAACTCTATCTGTAACATTTCTATTTCCTTAAAAGAAGATATAAAGTAGACATGATAAAAAAATTTTGTTAATCTGACAGACACGTGAAAAATAGAATGCTATTCTTTGCCCTTTTCTGTATATTTCATATGTCTATGTTATCTTGGTACATTTCTGTATGCTTATTTTTAAAATAAGGAAAAACACATTGTGTAGCACTCTGAAGCATATATGGTACATTAATATACACACGTACTATTTGATTGATGCTCAATACTGTCCAATTTTTACTTACCAATGCATCTTCTTGCAATAAGGCAAAAAAGAAGCCATAGAGCAAGTTAATTTGCTCCTTATGATCAATGAAGTCAAACATTGCAACCAGCCAACGATAAAAAAGTACCTATCAAAAAGACAAAATACTTATCTTTAAATAACTATAACTGGTACAGAAGAGTTTAATTCAGCCTTCCCACTCCCCGGGCTGTTTTAGAAGCTTCCAGCACAAAGTAGAATGACAGATTTTACTTCTCAGTAAAAATTTCTGTTTGAACATAGTCCTTGCATCAAGATGTATTATTCCAAAACTACAGGCTTTGCACAAAAGGCCATTGCCATTACTTCATAAGTGGCTCTTCCCTGCCAGCCCTTAAGTGGTTCTGAAGGACGTATCAACATAGTGTTTACAAAGGTTACCTTAGTGCTACCAGAACACTTGCCAACACAAAGCCAGGAGACAGCCTTAACCACAGAATCTTCTGATATTACCGTTGCTGGGATCATGCACTTCAATATCCGCGTGTTTACAGCATTTCCTGGAAAGCAGACAAGCTAAATTAAACATTTTAGTGTCTCAATTGTTCTTTCACTATTATTCACTCTTAGATCTAAAAATCTCACATTATATTGAAGGCAATAAAAACCAACAGTATGGCTGGGTGCGGTGGCTCACGCCTGTAATCCCAGCATTTTGGAAGGCCGAGACAGGCAGATCACAAGGTCAAAAGATCGAGACCATCCTGGCCAACATGGTGAAATCCCATTTCTACTAAAAATACAAAAATTAGCTGGGTGTGGTGGCGCGTACCTGTAGTCCCAGCTACTCGGGAGACTGAGGCAGGAGAATTGCTTGAACCTGGGAGGCAGAGATTGCGGTGAGCTGAGATCGCGTCACTGCACTCCAGCCTGGCCCCTGGCAACACAGCAAGACTCTGCCTCAAACAAAAATAAAAAATAAAAAAAACAACAGTATGTAAAATTCAGTATCTCTTACCATCATTAATAAATTGTTCAAAACAAAAATGTACTTTTAACTATTAATATAAACCATAAGGCAATGTCTGGGCACAGTGACTCATGCCTGTAATCCTAACACTTTGGGAGGCCGAGGCAGGCAGATCACTTGAGCTCAGGAGTTCACAACTAGCCTGAGCAACATGACAAAACCCCATCTCTACTAAAAATACAAAAATTAGCCAGGGGTGGTGGTGCAAACCAAGCAACTAAGGAGGCTGATGTGGGGGGATCACCTGAGCCCAGGGAGGTCAAGGCTGCAGTAAGCCATGATCATGCCACTGTATTCCAACCTGGGTGACAGAGTGAGACCCTGTCTCAAAAATAAAATATATATATATATATATATATATATATATGGCAAATTGGCCCAAATATTTCTATTTTAAAAATATAGGCCGGATATGGTAGCTCACACCTGTAATCCCAGCACTTTGTGAGGTCAAGGCAGGCAGATCACCTGAGGTAGGGAATTCAAGATCAGCATAACCAACATGAAGAAACCCTGTCTTTACTAAAAATACAAAAAATTAGCCAGGCGTGGTGGCAGGCACCTGCAACCCCAGCTGCTCGAGAGACTGAGGCAGGAGAATCGCTTGAACCTGGGAGGCAGAGGTTGCAGTGAGCTGAGATCATGCCACAGCACTCCACCCTGGGCAACAGAGTGAGACTGTCTCAAATAAAAAAACTAAAAAATATAAATTTCTTCTTGGGGTGATAAAAATATTCAAGAATTAGACAGTGGTGATGATTATACAACTCTGTGACTATGCTTTTTAAAAAATGCTGAATTTGGGGCCGACCATGGTGATACATGCCTATAATCCAGGTACTTTGGGAGGCTAAGGCAAACGGATCACTTGAGCCCAGGAGTTTGAGACCAGCCTGGGCAACACAGCAGGACCCTGTCTCCATGAAAAATCAAAATCAAAATTAGCTGGGCATGGTGGAGCCTCCTGGGAGGCTGAGGTTGGAAGACTGATTGAGCCTAGGAGTTTGAAATTAGCCTGGGCAATATCGTGAGACCCCAATCTCTACAAAAAGTACAAAAATTAGCCAGATGCAGTAGCATATGCCTATAGTCCCAGCTACATGGGAGGCTGAGGTGGGAAGACAGCTTGGGCCTGGGAGGTGGAGGTTGCAGTGAGCTGCGATTGCACCACCGGACTCCAGCCTGGGTGACAGAGTGGGACCCTGTCTCCAAAAACAAAAATACTGAATTTTTAAAACAATGAATTTTATGAGGGCATGGTGGCTCACAACTGCAATCCCAGCACTTTGTGAGTCTGAGGTGGGTGGATCACCTGAGTTCAGGAGTTCAAGACCAGCTTGGCCAACATGGTAAAACCTAATCTTTACTAAAAACACAAAAATTAGCTGGGCATGGTGCTGGGCACCTATAATCCCAGCTACTTGGGAGGCTGAGGCAGGAGAATCACTTGAACCCGGGAGGTGGAGGTTGCAGTGAGCCAAGATCACGCCATTACACTCCAGCCTGGGCAACAGGAGTGAAACTCCATCTCAAAAAAAAAAAAAAAGGAAGAAACAAAATGAAAAGACAAAGCCAGGAACGGTGGCTCAAGCCTATAATCCCCGCACATTGGGAGGCTGAGGTCATGAGTTCAAGACCAGCCTGGCCAACATAGTGAGACACCTAAAAATACAAAACTGCCTAATCTCTACTAAAAATACAAAAAATTAACTGGGCGTGGTGGCGGGCACCTGTAATCCCAGCTACTGGGGAGGCTGAGGCAGGAGAATTGCTTGAACCTGAGAGGCAGAGGTTGCAGTGAGTGGAGATTGCACCATTGCCCTCCAGCCTGGGCAACAAGAATGAAACTCCGTCTCAAAAAAAAAAAAAAAGAGTTCTATCTCCAAAAAACCCTTTCAATCATGGGAATATTTCAAAGATTTCATTTTTCTCAATGGCATAATAGATTTATTTAAAGCTACCAAGGGACACCTTGCATGAGGTGTTACATTTAAGAATATATTTGTTCATGAGAGAATGTGAACTGGAAATAAAAATATAGCCAGGCACAGTAGTTCACACCTGGAATCTCAGCAGTTTGTGGGGCAGAGGCAAGTGGATTACCTGAGGTCAGAAGTTCAAGACCAGCCTGGCCAACATGGTGAAAGCCCGTCTCCACTAAAAACACAAAAACTGGCCAGGCGTGGTGGTGGGTGGAGGTTGCAGTGAGTAGAGATCGTGCTACTGCACTCCGGCCTGGATGACAGAGTGAGACTCTGTCTCAAAATAAATAAATACATATATATATATATATAAAATTAAAAATATATATATCATCTACTTGCCCCTAAAAAGAAGGGAGAATAGCAAAATAGAACAGATATTCTTTTTTTTTTTTTGAGACATGGTCTCACTTTGTCACCCAGGCTGGAGTGCAGTGGTGCAATCACAGCTCACAACAACCTCAAATTCCTGGGCTCAAGCAATCCTCCCACCTCAGCCTCCAGAGTAGCTGGGACTATAGGCAGGTGCCACCATGCTTGCTTACATTTTTTACTTTTAGTAAAGACAAGGTCTCACTATGTTGCCCAAGCTTGTTTCACACTCCTGGGCTGAAGGGATCTGTCTACCTCGACCTCCCAAAGTGCTGCAATTACAGGCATGAGCCACTCTGACTGGCCTAGAACAAGATATTCTTGGAATTGGCTGGCAGTAATATCATTCTACACTAGTCCAATCTTTACACTTGATCTCAGGACTCATGATGTTCTCCCATCTGGTAATAGAAATGATGTCACAGAGATCACCTGAGGTCAGGAGTTCAAGACCAGCCTGGCCAATGTGGTGAAACCCCGTCTCTATTAAAAATACAAAAATCAGCTGGGCACGGTGGTGGGTGCCCGTAATCCCAACTATTTATGCTGCTAGGATATAAACAAATAAATCTAACATGCAAGGGCCAGGAAACTTAGTATATAAAGCATTTGGTTTTCAGAGCTGTCTTATTCTTTTTTTCCCCCAGAGACAGGGTCTTGCTCTGTTGCCCACACTGGAGTACAGTGGTACCGTCATAGCTCACTGTAGCCTCAAACTCATGGGCTCAAGTGATTCTCTTGCCTCGGACTCCCAAGTAGCTAGGACTACAGGCACATGACACTGCACCTAGCTGATTTTTTCTTTTGTTTACTTTTTGTAGACAAGGTTTTACTTTGTTGCCCAGGCTGGTCTCAAACCTGGCTTCAAGCAATCATCCTGCCTTGGCCTCCCAAACTGCTGGGATTACAGGCATGAGCCATGGCACTGTGCCCAGCATTAACTTTTTTTAAGTAGAAAAAAAGGCAGCAGTGTAGTACAGTATAAGCACTAGAATGGGACTTTAGACATCTTATTTCCCCAGTTCTAGCTCTGACATTAAGCAAGTCTCCTTAACTACTCTGAGCTTCTGTTTCCTCACCTTTAAATGAAAGTATTTAGAGTCTAACCTTCTAAGTCTGAATTTAAATGATAAAAAGTTAAAAGGTTCTTTTTTTTTTAAAGACGGGGTTTCGCCATGTTAGTCAGGCTGGTCTTGAACTCCCCACCTCAGGTGATCCGCCTGCCTTAGCCTCCAAAGTGCTTGGATTACAGGCGTGAGCCACCACACCTGGCCAAAAGGTTCTTTTCAAGTAAATAAAATACTGACCAGGTGTTACGTCTAAGAACCTCATCCAACCATCCCCACCAACACCAATTAACTCAGAACAGGAAAAGATGTATTTGCACAAAAGAATCTTGACTGTTAAACTCATAGACACTGGAATGGAGACAGTGTAAGCCATAGATAATGAAGGTAATGAAGTAGACTAAGTAATCTTTTAAGATGCCTTCCAGCAACATTATTTAAATTATTATGTATGCTTCTTAAGAGAAATACTAAAAAATGGTTTTCATGTATTTGGTAACAAGAGTATGTATTCTGTATTTTATTTGTGATATATGGTAACTGGTCATTTTCAGCATATGTATATAGAAACTTTTGGCCTAAACACAAGAAAAGCCAATTTTATAATCTTAACAGATTGGTCTTATGACAAGAACAGTAAATGTAAAGAACTGCAACTGATTCCAATGAACAATCCAAGTCAAAGTCTAAAAGGAAAAACTAATAGCAAAGTGATGACTAAAGTATCCCCAGGTGGGGACTGTGGCTCATGCCAGTAATCCCAGCACTTTGGGAGGCCAAGGCAGGTGGATCACGAGGTCAAGGAGTTCAATACCAGCCTGGCCAAGATGGTGAAACCCTGTCTCTACTAAACATAGAAAAACATTAGCCAGGCGTGTGGCGGGTACCTGTAATCCTAGCTACTCCGGAGGCTGAGGCAGAGAATCACTTATACCTGGGAGGCAGAGGCTGCAGTGAGCCAAGATCAAGCCACTGTACTATGACCTGGGCAACAGAGCGACACTGTGTCTCAAAAAAAAAAAAAAAAAAAAAGCAGCAGCATCCCCTTGGCTGGGCACGGTGGCTCACACCTGTAATCCCAGCACTTTGGGAGGCCAAGGCAGGCAGATCACAAGGTCAGGAGATCGTGACCATCCTGGCTAACATGGGGAAACCCCGTCTCTACTAAAAAAAAAAAAAAAAATACAAAAAATTAGCTGGGCATAGTGGCACACACATGTAGTCCCAGCTATTCAGGAGGCTGAGTCAGGAGAATCGCTTAAACCTGGGAGGCAGAAGTTGCAGTGAGCCAAGACCATGCCACTGCACTCCAGCCTGGGAAACAGAGCAAGATTCTGTCTCAAAAAAACAAAAAAATCAGAAAACATCCCCCTGGGCCAGGTGTGGTGGCTCAAGCCTGTAATCCCAGCACTTTGGGAGGCCAATGGGGGAGGATCACTTGGGACTAGGAGTTCGAGACCAGCCTGGGCAATACAGTGAGACCCTCTCTCTATTATATAAAAAATATATATATAGGCCAGTCGCGGTGGCTCAAGCCTGTAATCCCAGCACTTTGGGAGGCCGAGGCGGGTGGATCACGAGATCAACAGATCGAGACCATCCTGGTCAACATGGTGAAACCCCGTCTCTACTAAAAATACAAAAAATTAGCTGGGCATGGTGGCTCGTGCCTGTAATCCCAGCTACTTGGGAGGCTGAGGCAGGAGAATGGCCTGAACCCAGGAGGCAGAGGTTGCGGTGAGCCGAGATCGTGCCATTGCACTCCAGCCTGGGTAACAAGAGCGAAACTCCGTCTCAAAAAAAAAAAATATATATATATATATATATATATATATATATATATATATATAAAATTTATTTTTAAAATAAAAAATATAGATGCTAGGTGAGTTAAAAGATTTAAAAAAAAGCATCTCCTCAACTTACCAAATTTGCCACTGAGTGCAACATTTAATAGAATGTCAATTTCTTCTGAAGCTAACCCATTCTTCCAAGCCACATTTTCCACAGTTTTCAAGTGTTTTTCCAAGGTTTTATCTTTATTCCGTGAAGTTTTAATGGGACCTGGAAAAAAGAAACAGTATTAAATAGCGAGACCTTTAAAATTATTTCTGTCTTCAGCCTCAATAACAACTTGAAACTCTTTAAAGGAATAGCTTAATGACCAGGTATGGTGGCCCACACCTCTAATTCCAGCATTTTGGGAGTCCAAGGCAAGAGGATCACTTGAGGCCAGGAGTTTGAGACCAGCATGGGCAACATGGCAAGACCCCATCTCTACAAAAAATTTAAAAACTAGCTGGGCATGCTGGCATGTGCCTATGGTCCTAGCTCCTAAGGAGGCTGAGATGGGAGAATCATTTGTGCCCAAGAGGTCAAATGTACACTGGGCCATGATCATGCCACTGCACTCCAGCCTGGGCAACAGAGCAAGACCCTATCTCCAAAAATAAATAAATAAATGAGTTTGTTTATGTAAGAAGTGTCTTCCCAAAAACCATTCAAAGATGTTTTTAACTAAAGAATATTTAACAGCAATAGCACCTTCAGTGAAGAAAGCTGGATCATGCACTGACATTCTTATTCTAAACTAACTAAAAGCACTGACCTTAGACTACAATCTGTTTCAATACTAGGACAGTGGTTCACAAACTCTGCCATACATTGGAATCACCTAGGAAGCCTTAAAAAAAATCCCTACACCAGGTTGCATCCCATGCCAATAAAATCACAAAGTCTAAGAGTGGATGCCAGTCGGGCACGGTGGCTCACACCGGTAATCCCAGCACTTTGGAAGGCAGAGGCAGGTAGATCACCTGAGGTTGGGAGTTCACGAACAGCCTGACCAACATGGAGAAACCCCATCTCTACTAAAAATACAAAATTAGCTGGGCGTGGTGGCGCATGCCTGTAATCCCAACTATTCAGGTTCAAGCAATTCAGGAGAATTGCTTGAACCCAGGAGGTGGAGATTGTGGCGGGCCGAGATCACACCATTGCACTCCAGCACTCCAGCCTGGGCAACAAAAGCAAGACTCCACCTCAAAAAAAAAAAAAAAAAAAAAGAGTGGATGCCTGACAACAGTTTGTTTGTTAAAGATTCTCAGAGCTGAAAAGGTAGAGAGGGAGGGGAAAATAAAGAAAAAGAAAAAAAGATTCTCAGGTGATCCCAATATGCAGCAGTTTGGGAACCACTCTGCTAGTAAGTTTTGTTGTTGTGTCCCTAGTACCTAGCATGCTAATACATAGTAAGTGTTCAATGTCTATTAAATAAACAAAAGCATGAATGAGCAAAATTATGCTTTCCTTTAAAAATTCTTTTTTTTTTTTTTTAAATGAGGTTTCACCATGATGGCCGGGCTAGTCTTGAACTCCTAACCTCAAGTGATCCACCCACCTCGGGTTCCCAAAGTGCCAGGATTACAGGCAGGAGCCACCGCGCCCAGCCCTTTAAAAATTCTTAAGAAAAAAGACTAGAATATTCTTACAGAAATAGGACTTTCATAAGGAAAACAATCCACCTTTACCTTTCTCAAAATATCCCACTGCCATTTGCAGAGCATCTTCAGCTTGATCATCAGCATGTTCATAATCTCCCACTGGATTGTCTTCTCCATGTTTTGAGATGCTCTTTGAGTTGCTTGGATCCTGCTTTACTTTCCAGGCTGAAAGCGTGGTCTGAAAACTATTACTACCTTGTGAAGTCCTGTTTTGTGCCTGGACGTTCTTACCTCTCTTTTGAGATGACATTACTGCATATGTTCTATACAGAAACAAGTGTTAAGTTATCATTAATCAGCCAAACAGTCCTTTCTTCTCCACAGAGACAGGGTGTATTTCCAGTATTTAGTATACAATGGCTAGCATACAACAGGCATGCAATAAATAAGTTGACAACAATCCAGGAAACAAAATCTAGACGTTGACTTTCTCAGAAAGCCCTTGCCCTAAATAGAAATAGAAACAACCTGCCAAGGTAACATCATCAGCTGAACTAGCTTTCTAGTGGGAAAAAAAAACCAGAATACAGGAAACATAGCAAGTTCTTTCTTAGAATGGCTATGTCATATAAGTGGGTCCAAAACTAATCCATCTCGGCCAGTTGCAGTAGCTCATGCCTGTAATCCCAGCACTCTGGGATGCTGAGGCGGGTGGATCACTTGAGGTCAGGCATACAGAAGTTCCAGACCAGCCTGGCCAATATGATGAAACCCAGTCTCCACTGAAAATACAAAAACTAGCTGGGCATGGTAGCACACACCCGTAATTCCAGTTTCCCGGGAGGCTGAGACAGGAGAATCGCCTGAACTCAGGAGGTGGAGGTTGCAGTGAGCAGAGATTGCACTGCTACACTCCAGCCTCCATGACAGAGCAAGACCCTGTCTCAAAAACAAAACAAAAATTAATCTACCTCAATAACTCAATCTTACTTTCTCCACTCCTATTTTCCCCACCTCTACTTGATTTTACTTTTAATCTTTATGCATCTCACTTTCTGAGTGCTAAGTTAAAACCATAGTTCAAAAGCCAAACTGGTGGCCAGACTAAGCATTTTCAGGAGACAAATATTCCCATTCATTCACTTAATAATTACTAAATGTCATCTATATGCCAAGCACAAGTCTAGTTACCAGGGATAAAATAATAAAACAATCAAGGTCCCTGTTCTCATGAAACTTACATTGAAGGGGGAGGTGAGAGTCAATAAGTAAGTATACAACTAAGACCAGGCATGGTGGTTCACACTTGTAGTACCAGCACTTTGGGAGGTGAGGCTGGAGGTTCCCTTCAGCCTAGGAGTTCAAGACCAGTCTGAGCAACACAGTGAGACCTCGTCTCTAAAAAAGACAAAAAATTAGCCAGGCGTGGTGGCACATGTCTGTAGTCTTAGCTACTCAGGAGGCTGAGGCAGGAGAATCGCTTGATCCTGGGAGGTTGAGGCTGCAGAGAGCTGTGACTGTGCCACTGCACTCCAGCCTGGGTGACAGAGCAAGATCTTATCTCTAAAAAAAAAAGGAAGAAAAGTAGACAAGTAATAATGAATATAATACACAGTGATGTTACAGAAATGAAGTAGGAATGGGAAGCTACGTTGTAACTTTGTAACAAGTGTTCAAAGAAAACCTCTCTGAGGTGACCTTTAAGAACTTTATGTGTTAAAACAGCAGCTTGGCCCTACAAGGTAGGGTAGGTAGGTGACACTTAGAATCCCAGCACGTTGGGAAGCTGAGGGCAACATAGGGAGACATTGTTTCTTTTTCTTTTTTTTTGAGACAGAATTAATTCCTCACACAGGCTGGAATACAGTGGCCTGATCAGCTCACTGCAACCTCCACCTCCCAGGTTCAAGGGATTCTCCTGCCTGTCTCTCCTGTAGCTAGAATTATAGGAGCACGCCGGTGGCCGAAATAGCTCAGTTGGGAGAGCGTTAGACTGAAGAAGGCGCATGCCACCACGCCCAGCTAACTGTAGTATTTTAGTAGAGAAGGGGTTGCCCCATGTTGGCCAGGTTGGTCTCGAATTCCTGACCTCAAGTGATCCATACCTGCCTCAGCTTCCTCCCAAAGTGTTGCGATTACAGTCGTAAGCGACCACACCCAACCTGACTCTGGAAAGAAGAAAAAAAAGGGAAGAAGAAAAGAGAAAGAAAGAAGGAAGGAAGAAAGAAATCGAAAAAAAAAAAAAAAGAGTAGCAACATCAGTCTGGAGAAAGTGGAATGAAAGAGGTAAAAGATAATAAGCGATGAAGTCAGAACGTAGCCAGGGACTCGATAGATCACACTGGGATTTGCAGGCCAGAGTAAGGAGTTTGGATTTTAAATGTCATGGGAAAACATAGGCGAAGGGGGAAAGGTTAGAGAAGGGAGCAATGCCATCTGATTTGTGTTTGAAGATCATTTTAGCTGCAGTGCAGAGACGAGAATGTTAGAGGTCAAGCAGCGGCAATAAACCAAATAAAAGACTCTTGGAGAAGTCCAGTAAAGGGATGACTGTTGCCTGCACTAGGCCTAGGGTGTAGAGGTGGAAAATGATTGGATTAGTGCTATGTTTTGGAAGTAGACAGAGCGGGCCGTGATAAAAGAATTGGATATAGGGAAAAGGGAAACAGTAACAAAGAATGACTTCTAAGTTTTTGGCTTCAAATAGGAAAAACGAAAGGAATGGTCGGAATGACACCTACTCAATCCCACCTCCGTGGAACAGATGAGGCCAGATCAGAAGAGGACTATGTATGTCCAACCCAGTGGGAGGTTACAGGTCCCAAGTCGTTTCCTAGGGTCCTAAAAAAGAAGGGTGGGGGAGCGGCTTCTGACCCCACCCAGTTGAACCATCCCAGTGCTTCCCAAGGATCCCCGCAACAGCCTGCCCCAGCTGGAAGCGAAACTGGCTACAGAAAACCGGACCACAGCCACAACTTGCAGGATAGTCCCACCCTCAAAAATTACAAAATTATCTTCGCTCCTATTTCGCGCGGTGCTTAAAAGTACCTTCTTACCTAACACACTCGACGTATAGCCGCACAGGCCTCTGACGACCGAATGCCGCCTCGGGAATTCAAAGAAGCGGACTCCACCCGCACGCATGCGCTTCCGCCCAGACCCAAGCGGCGGCTGGGCGGAGCTACGCACTCAGCTGAAGCCTAACTGGCTAGAGGTGGCGGGAGGTGGCTCTGTGGCGGGAGGGGGCGCGCGCGCCGACGCTGACGTATATCAATTACGGAGAGCGGATTGCCCCACCCACCTGGGGCCTAGGGGGCGCGCAGCGAGTGGGCCGTCGCTGCTGGAGTGAACTGATTGGCTGGCGTTCCCACTGTGCTAGGAATGCTCGCATTTGTCATTATGCGTGTGATGGGACAATTCAGGTCTCCGTTCTTGAATTTAACATGATCAATTATAGTGATTATTTTGCCTATTCTGACCCCAGATGTCGGGACTTTGTAGGTAAATGTGAAACCGCAAACTTCACAATAAAGGTGGCTTCTCCCTGGCTGAGACTTAAGTCAAAGGGCCTGTCGCTTTCCCCACGTGAACCTAGGGCGTGGGAGGAAAGAAAAGCTGGATCTGCCCTCGTTTTACCGAGAATCAGTAGGGATATCCTTCAAGGTTTTCTAGAAACTGGCTGTCAACATGTAACTATTCCTAATCATGAGAAGTTAATCGACCTTAAAGAAACTGGCTTTAAAACAGCAACAAGGGTTTAGTCTGAGCTCTCAGCTTAGTCTCTAATTTAATCTCTTATTAGAGTAGGAATAAGAGAGAAAAGATAAAAATTTAATGACTCACTGAGTTGTTGAGACCAAAACATACCTATAAACTTTGGGTAAACTAGTTGGGGGGGAACTGCAATCTTAGAGATGAATTATCAAAAATTAAGTTTATGTGTTTGGGAAAGCACACAGCAAAAATAGTTATTTACCACATCATACATGGTTTTCAGAGTAGTTTCACAAACTCTTATTTAATCATGCATGACAACTGAGACCCTTCAATTTTTTCTGATAAGTGCTCTTCTTTAATACAATTGAAAATTTCTTGAATTATTTTTCATGCTTTTAATCATGTTTCATAGGCTCAAAGAAATGTAAATTAGAAGGGAATTTAAAGCTTCTTTTTGTAGATGGTGAAACTAGAGCCCTGAGTGGTGAAATATCTTGCCTAATGTGACAAGTCTGAGGCAGTGCAACTTGTACTACTTTGTGGAGATATATATATATATATATGTAGTGATAGCCAGTGATTCACCTTTAATGTATCTTCAATTTTCTCTGAAATCATTTTTCTAACTTCCCTTGGCATCACCTAATAAAGCAAAACTCCCAAAACCTTGAAATTTTATTGGGATCCTAAATATGTGGCTTTCTGTCTTGTGTGCTAACATCACAAAAGTGTGCAGGAACGTAAATTAAATTGGAAAGTTAGGCCAGGTGAGGTGGTTCCCACCTGTAATCCCAGCACTTTGGGATGCCGGGGCAAGCAGATTGTTTGAGCCCAGGGGTCTGAGGCCAGACTAGGCACTATTGCAAAACCCCATCTCTACAAAAAATAAAAAATTAGCCGGACATGGTGGCATATGCCATAGTCCCAGCTATTCAGGAGGTTGAGGTGGGAGGAACACTTGAACCTGGTAGACTGATGCAGTGAGCTGTGATCACACCACTGCACTACAGCCTGGGCAACAGAGCAAGACCATGTCTCAAAAAAAAAGAATAAGAAAAAGAAAAACTAGAAATCAGAAAGTTGGCAACTTCATTAGCATATTAAGTGATTATACTCTTCTCTTTCCTCTCTTCCTTCATCCAGACTCAGAAAAAGAGAGGCTGAATCCTTTGATATGATCCTTACTTTCCAGATTTTCAGCATTTGTCTAGACAGTTTCCTCCAAATTTCAAAAAGTTTTATTTTGAAAGAATGAGAGAAATAAAACAGAGAGGTATCAATTACCAAGAACATGACACTGAAGAAAATACAGTAATAAGTACTCTTCCCACACACCCCCGCCCACCCATTTCCCCATCCCTGGCACAATAATATTAAACCACCAAAGCACATCTAACAAGGAAAAACAACAGTACGTAATGAAAAAAGCAAATGTTTATACTGCTCAATCCAACTAACCCTTATGAAATGTCCTTCCCCCAGCTAAACTCCACCCACTGGAATGATAAAGAAGTGTAGAGACAACTCTAGGGTTGACTTGGAACTCTGCTTATACTAGCAAACCTCAGTGAAGAATCAATAAGAATAGCAAATTTGTTTGGCAAGGAAACACTGAATATAGCTTCTTTGTCAAATTTTGAATGATTGCAAAGAACAGGTAGAGTTTGAGACTCACAGACTTCTAACAAGACTGATCCTGTTCCCTCAACCTGAACAGTGGAGCAGCTGCCAAATCCTGGTTGGCTGCTGAGAATAATGGAAGTGAGGCAATTTTAGGCTTAAGACAATCTGAAAAAGATGTCAGGAAACAAGTTTACTGCTTCAGTTTTAAATTGTGTGTAAAGGGGTTTAGTAGGTGGGGCTCAGACAAAGGCAAGGTGAAACTTCCTATATTATCATTTGAAGAATTAAACTATCAATTTAACTGCATGCATCCCTTGTTTTAATTAAACTCAATATGGACTATTTAAATTTTAAGCAACTGTTGGAATAAACCCTAATTAATTTTATATATAACTCAATGTCTCAAATTGAATTTTTTTTCTCTAAAGTAGTAAGTTTAAGTTTTCAGCATCTGTGGAGAGATTCCTGGCCATGGGAATACATGACTTGTTTTATATCAGGATTCTCTTTATTGGAAATTTGTTTTATTCTGCCTTTGCTGGAATCAATCTATAAAGGGAAGGATGCCTGTGCAGGATTAGTTCAAGATCAGAGCCTGCTCTGCACATGCGTTTGTGCATGTGCACACACACACAGAGTAGTTAAATACATTTTCCCACACACAATCTCACAAGCACATGCTTGCTGGAGTCCATCTCACAATTACACTTCAACAGTAGCCGTATACATGTACATGCAGCAAGATGTGAGAGTTGCCCCAGAGTAATTACAGGTGGTGCACAAATGTCAAGTGGGGAAGTCATTTTAGCATATAGATGTACACAAGCCAATAGGGTCATTAACTTGCAGATTACATTTTTCCCTTTCCCCAAGATAAATAAATCGAATGAGAAACACACACTGACATCTTCCTGGTGTCGTAGACGCAACTGCCTGGAAGGTCCACTCTTTGTACTTCCACTTTCCTATGATACCTTCACTTTGCCCTGAGGGGCCTTCTCATATAAGGAGGGTTGCTCCTCAGCATTCCCTGGCAAGGGCTTCTTCTCAGAAGACCGGTCTTCAGGCTTGCGGGCAATCAGCAGGCGGCAGGTGAGCAGGATTCCAAATACCAGAGCGTGGGCGTAGCGTTTGAGAGGATCACCGACCAGCTGATGGAAGAAGAGCACAGCCAATACCAGCAAAAGTAGGAAGAAGTTGGCCACATCTTTTGGACGCCCAGGCACAAGGGTCATGACGATGCCACAGGCCACCTCAAGGGCACCAATGCTTTTTCGGAGGAGAATGGAATTGATCCCCATTTTCTTCAGTAGAGGGAGAGCTCGAACATAGCTCTTGTAAGCCCGTTTCTAGAGTGGGAATATTATAAGGAAATTACAGCATTAACCATGATTTTAACATTAGAATGAAGAAAACACAAGCAGAGTCCTCCTTTCCTACCTCCATTCCCCTTTCACACCAGCTGCTGGTGTCCCATTACATATAATTTTTCATATCTTAATTTTTTATGATTAAAATAAGAGGCCAGGCATGATGGCTCATACCTGTAATCCCGGCACTTTGGGAGGCCGAGGCAGGTAGATCACCTGAGGTCGGGACTTGGAGACAGCCTGGCCATCATGGTGAAACCCTGTCTCTACTAAAAATACAAAAATTAGCCAGCCATGTTACTGTCGCCTGTAATCACGTCTGCTCAGGAGGCTGAGGCACAAGAATCATTTGAACTGGGGAGGTGGAGGTTGCACTGAGCCAAAATTATGCCACTGCACTGCAGCATGGGTGACAGAGTGAGACTCCGTCTCAAAAAAATAAAAAATAAAATAAAATAAGCAATCTTCTGGGATCCCTGTGATTTAAACCTTAGTAGCATCATTGCTATGGTATGAATGTTTATGTTCCCAACAAAACTCATATGTTGAAATCCTAACCCCCAAGATGATGGTATTAGTAGGTTTTGGGAGATGATTATGTCTGAGAGTGGAGTGTTCTTAAATGAGATGAATTCCTTTATAAAAGAGGCCTCAGAAAGCTGACTTGCCCCTTCTGCCATGTGAGGACACAGTTAGAAGGCACTATGAACAGAAAGTGGGCCCTCAATAGACATCAAACTGCTGCCACCTTGATCTTGAGCTCCACTGTGAGAACTAAATTTCTGTTGTTTATAAGCTACCCAGTTTATGCTATTTTATTATAATTAGTCTGAATAGACTAAGACAAGCACCAAAGGTAATAAGGCAAACAATTTGATTTTATAGTTTAAAAACATTTATGATTATAAATCATAAATAACATTAAGAATTTTTTTTAGCTGGGTGTGGTGGGTCACACCTGTAATCTGAGCGCTTTGGGAGGCTGAGGGGGGTGGATCACCTGAGGTCAGAAGGTTGAGAACATCCTGGTCAACATGGTGAAACCCCGTTTCTCCTAAAAATAGAATAATTAGCTGGGTGTGGTGGGGCATGCCTGTAATCCCAGGTACTCGGGAGGCTGAGGCAGGAGAATCACTTGAACCTGGGAGGCAGAGGTTGCAGTGAGCCAAGATCGTGTCACTGCACTCCAGCCTGGGTGACAGAGCAAGATTCCATTTCAAAAAAAAAAAAAAAAGAATTTTTTTTTAAATTTAGTAGGTCCATAAAAACTGGTACATGTTAGGCACATCCATATTTTCTAGTGCCTGCTTTGTCAAATCCCAGATGCATATGAATACCAAGCAAAATGAAACAAGGTAAGGTACAATCTGGTAAAGCTTCACTAACTTGGACTTCCCTAATTTGGAATCTGTGATATTTCAGAAAAGAGGAAACTGGAGTTTATATTTGTAGAATA